ATTTATTTTATAAAGAAAGTCATGTTGGAGGGTAGCACTTGCAAATAATTAAAGTACTAGGCAGTCATAAATCAAGACAATTATTTTTTCCAAGTGAAATGTGTGAAGATTTGGAGTAGTCTGTAGAGGTCATAGAAGCTGCACATTTTGCATATACTTTATAAGATTGTGACACAACTAGAGAGATAAGTGAAATGCATGTCGCCCTGTCTCTTGAAACAAGGCTTTTAATAATGGCAACAAGTACAAATGCTGCTCAAAAAACCTGTAAATCAAGATATTATGAGATATTCTATCAGATACAGTCTATTCTGATTGGCCCGTATGGATCATTGAAAAGTTATGTATAAACCCGACAGGAAGTGCAACTATGCACATGTATTTGGCCTTGAGAAAAGGGGACATGTATAATTTATGTTGACTCCAAATAGAGCAGCAGGAAATGTAATAAATGAGCTATGTACTTATTCAGTAGCTATATACTTTGGCCAGCTTTATTTATTCATTCATGTATTTATTTATTTATTTTAAGTGCAGTATGTTTAGCAAAAAAGGTCGCTAAAAGTTTTTTGAGCTGTGCCAATAAAAACACTTGCATATAATGTGGTAATACCAAACTTTGCCTATAATTGAATTGCAAGACAAAACTTGTGATATGCAAAGTTTGTCTTTGCATCTGCTTGTTAATTGTACTGGTATTTGTGTTTTTGGTAGTTCTTTATTACATCTAAAATAATGATTTTTCCCCCTGACACCACCACAAGAAACGTGCCTCCTCAATGCTACCTCTCAACAATGTATTTGCCAATGTCATTTGTCTCTGTAGAATAGCAATTTAGACGACAAGTGACCTGACTTTCATTACTGGAAATCCCAGAAAAAAGAAGGCACTGTAGTGTCTTATACGTGAAACTGAACTATCCTTATAGGCTGCATTGATGCATTAATTAAAATTATATTTTATTTGTTGCCCCTTTCATAAGATTCCCTAGCCAATCACCCTGCTCTCTGTGTAAATGTGCTGCGGGGCTCATGTCCAAGTGTTAAGGGAACTGCGTGTTGTCTCTCTAAATGAACCTCTACTGGGATTAGTTTACCAAAGGGAATGTTTGGGAGCAATTAAATAGTGATATATCTTTTTTTGTTAAATGTTTATTTGCATGTACCCTAAAGCCTTTGGTATATAAATGATTATTCTTTTATAGTAACATGCTAGTTAGCCCTTGAGTTAGTGTGGCACATCATTCAGGAACCTTGGGGCATTTCATTAATTTAATCATCTGACAATGATATTTTACATAGTATTTGAGGTTGAATAAAGACACAAGTCCATCAAGTTCAACCTATTGTGTGTCTGTATGTGATTGTGCTTGTGTGGTATAGTTTTTAAGAGTACCTGTTTCCTTGTATGTTACGGTCTCTGAGGAAGGTATCTAAATGCTTTTTGAATGATTAAATACTCTCTGCTGATACGACTGCTTGTGGCAGCGAGTTCCAGATTTGAACCGCTCTAACTGAAAAAAAGCCTCTACGCCCCTTGTGGTTAAATCTTTTCTCCACCAGTTTTAGGTGGTGGCCTCTAGTCTTTGTTATGGAGTGCTATCCTGCTATCCTTTACCAAGCAACTATTTTTGCATATTCAACTCAGTACCATTTAAAAGCACAGTAACAAATAGGTGTCCAGTTCATGCAACTGGTTTGTTTGGCATACAATGATAATTAGTCTTTTTAACGGCAATGGTAGGGATCATTTATCCCTGTGGAAACAAGGTGACCTGTTGTATTTGGAAAATAGGACTGCAAAATGTTAAAAGTGCTAAAAAGTACTGAAACATTTGTTTGACTGCACTTGCTTAAGCCATGTACATTTCAGTATTAGAGCTATCATTGCCTTTCCCTTTTGTATAATATTATTATCATAAACTGCTGCATAAGTATTTTATGAAAAATATTTTTTTGCCTGATAGATGACAATCATTACATTTGCCTGTTCATTCATTATATGCAAATGCTTATTTCCAGTGAGTTGGAAAATTTAAATTTAGAATTATTGCTAACCAAATTGCCTTTATCTAGGAATGTGCATCTGCTCACAATTACTTACAAGAAAGAAGAATGAATTCATTCAGCACTTGCCATTGCTTTTCTTGATCAATATATCTGGCGAGTGATGCTCATAGTTTAGTGGACGATTATTCATTATTGTTTAAATGCTAGTAACTCTTAGAGCCATGCAGTGCTTACAGTTGAAATGATGCTTAAAACCAAAAATCAAATGTCAACATGACTTTCATTGAGTGTTTTAAAGTAGGAAAAGTGATCTAACATTATTATTCAACAATACTTATGTGGCATTAGCTAGTTATTGCCACAAATACTGTCTTCCTGTTTAAAGTGCAGTTTTTCTCTACAGTGTACCCTTCACCTTGCATTCAGCAAGCTTCTTAACTTAAAGGAGAACTATGAGGTGAGCAATTTTCACTCAACCTCATAGATCGAGCCGACGTGTGACAATGAAACTGTCACACGTCGGCTCAATAGATGGGGAAGTGAGCGAACGCATACCGTCGCTCGCTCACTTCTCGATCATCTCCCTGCAGAGAGCCGTGACTGTCACTCACGGCTCCCTTCAGGGATCCCCCTCCCCACTCCGATCATCCTCCAGCACTGACTGGCGGAACGGACGGAGGAAGTGACAGGTCACTCACGCAGCTGGGTGGATCTCAACAGTAATGTCGGGGTCCGTCCTGGCTGCGGCGGTCTCAGTATACGGTGAGCTGTAGCTTGCTATATACTGAGCTTTGGGTCACGGAAGGACGCTAGTATATGTCCTCCGTGACCCTTAGGAGAACTATGGAGAAAAACACTTAACCCATAGTTCTCCTCTAAACATATATTTCCAATCAAAACCAACAAAAACAGAGGCAGTCACACCTACATTTTCTTTTTCTGTGCAGTATGTCATCTTCTGTTAGAGGTCTGAGCTGCACCAGTTGACTCCTAGGCCTTGTAGCTTTACGTGCTGTGGAAACAGAATAATTTGCAAACTTCTGCATAAGGTTGCAAGTAAACATTTCCTAAAAGACATATGGGGGCGACCTTTGCTATCCACCTTTTGAAAATGCTAGCTGTCTGGATGTTTTGCTGACCCTCTGTTTTCAATACCTTCTGAAACACTGGGTACACTTTTACATTGTATTCAGTAAAGGAAGGTCTGCTTGGCGACACCCCATTAATAACAGTTTATACCTACGGAATATCTGGGCGTTTCCCAGTAATTCCAATCCAACCACACAAAAAAGGGGGGTGGCTTTTGAGCCAACAAATCAGACCTTTTAACTTAAACATGTTTTTTATTTAATTCTTTGTATAGAAACTTTTTTTCTTTGAATTGAATAAATATCTTTTTTATACAAAT